TATATATATATATATATTTTTTTTTAAGTATGTCTTTTTTGATTTCAGAGAGAGAAAGGGGGAGAGAGAGAGAAACATCAATGATGAGAGATAGTCATTGATCAGCTGCCTCCTGCACACTCGCTGCCGGGGATCGAGTCTTTGACCCAGGCATGTGCCCTGACAGGGAATCAAACCTCGATCTCCTGGATCATAGGTCGATGCTCAACCTCTGAGCCATGCCAACCACGCTTTTCATTACATATTTAAAAGATGCTGACTAGGCTGGAGATTAGACTTGGTGGTGATGGGCCACTTCATGTGTCTGCCTTCAGCCTGCCTGTCTGTAAAGGAAGATGAGAGTGAATGACAGCTCCCGCTCCGCTCCTCCTGTGAATTAGCATTGCCAAGATGATGAAACTGCAGACTCCCGGGATCTGTTGTTTAGTGTTTCTAAGCAGAGCATCTAGAAGGAAAATTAAGTGTAAGGGGAACAGAGAGTTTTAAAAGGAATACAGAGATTACTCTCTATTGGTCCAATAAACACACCTACACCGTTTGGACTATAAGATATTACACCTAGTTCAGTGGTTCTCCACTGGGGGTGTTTTTGCCTTTAGAGGACATTTGGGAATGTCTGAAGACATTTTTTATTTATTTTATTTTTTAAAGTAAATCCTTTATTTATTGATTTTTTTAGAGAGAGGAAGGGAGAAGGAAAGAGAGATAGAAACATTGATGAGAGAGAAACATCAATCGGCTGCCTCCTGCAAGCTGCCCACTAGGGATGAGCCCTCAACCCGGGCATATGCCCTGGCTAGGAATCAAACTGGTGACCTTTTGGTTCACAGGTTGACGCTCAACAACTAAGCCATACCAGCCACGCTCTGGAGACATTTTTGACTGTCATACCAGGGGTGAGGGCGCTACTGGCATCAAGTGGGTAGAGGCTAAGAATGCTATCTAAACATCTGCAGTGCACAGGACAGTCCCCACAATAGAGAATTATCTGGCCCAAATCATAAAAGACTAGATATATTAGGACTTAGCTTTTGAAGTTACTAAATTAGCCCTTCTTAAGAGTCATGTCCTGGGGTCTGTAGGCCTACCTGTAAAACAAGTTTCAGAAGGTATATATGTCTGCTTAAGATAACAGAAGAGCCCTGGCCAGATGGCTTAGTTAGTTGGAGTGTCATCCCATGTACCCAGAGATTGTGGGTTCGATTCCTGGTCAGGGGACATACGGGACACAACCAATCGATGTTTCTCTCTCACACTAATGTTTCTTTCTCTCTCTCTCTCCCCCCCCTTCTTTGCTCTCTAAAATCAATAAAAGCTAACAGAAGAATGTTTAACCTGTTAAACATGAAATTTATAGCTCTGTTCTTTTCTTTCTACTCTTAAGATAATGTCACTGACTCACAACCCCAAGATGTCTTATAGACCTCTCCTTCTGTTCAAGACCACCTGGCCATAGTCACACAGACCCGGACAGGATGCCACCAGAAGCTTAATAAATCAATTGCTAAAGCTTGCACAGGAACTGACTACCAGCACAGCCCACCACCCTGGACTCTACTCACAATTACTCATGATTTTTGCTCTGTAAAACCTCTTGTCTGTAAACCTTTGGGAGTTCAGGTTTTTTCAGCACAAGCTGCCTGGTCCCCACTGTGCGGTGCTATACAATAAATGTCAATTCCTTTCACTGCACCCTGGTCAGAGTAATTGGCTATCTGAAGCACTGAGTGGACAGAACTCTTTGCTTAGTTACAAAAATGTCAACAGTGATGAAAAGAATGACCAATTCATCTATCTTTCCACCCACTCTTTCTCACAGGCCAGGCACCCTGGAGGCACTGGGGCTATGAGATGAATAATCCACAGTAGTCTTCAAAACAAATTTATAACCAGCTTCCAATGATCAGAGAGTGCTACACTAACAGGCTATGCATTAGTATCTCCTAGGGGTAGTTGCTAAAATACGTTCTAAATTATGTTTCCCTGGCTCTGTAGACTTATTGAGTCAGAATCTCCAGTGAAAGGCCCATAAGAATCTTCAGCTTCCTGGGGTCCTGTGTTGGGGATTGTGGTTCAGTAGGTGGGAGAGGAGCCTGGGTGACTCATGTCTAAGGGAACTCTGGGAAATATTGTGTTAGGGCAACAGAGAGGAGGCCCCTAGACCCAGAGGGCACCTCGAAGCCTGGGTGAGGACAGTCAGGAGATAAGGCCTGAGCTGAGGCTAGAAGGGCAATGGATGGGGACAAGTACGACAGGCAAAGACATAGACACTCACACTTCTAGTTGATCTACCCATGTAGCTGAGTACCAGGTGTTCCATCAGCAACTCCAGAAATTTATTTATAGGATTAAAAATAGGAAAGTAGCCCGGCCAGGCGTGGCTCAGTGGCTGAGCACCGACCTAGGATCCAGGCGATCGGGGTTCAATTCCCGGTCAGGGCACATGCCCAGGTTGCAGGCTTGATCCCCAGTTGGGGGTGTGCAGGAGGCAGCCGATCAATGACTCTCTCATCTCTCTCTCCCTCTCCCCCTCCTTTCCTCTCTCTGAAATAAAAAAAGATATATCTTAAAAAAAAAGGAAAGTAAAGAGGGAAAATGTTTCCCTAAACAAGGAAGCAGAGGTGAGGGTTCAGGGCTGCTTTTGATACTTCATGGCTACAGGTCTCAATATCCTCATAAGAAGTTAATCTTTTACCAAAATGTAATTAGCAACGTATAATTTACCATCATTTCCCAGTTGCTCCTGCACTTTCTCAAAGTCCGAGCCTCCTACTACTCCAATTTTGACCTTCTGCCTCAATTTTTGTAGAAAGTCATCCATTTCTTTGGTAATTTTCTACATTTCAAAAAGGAAAATACAATAGTTACAAACCACAAAGTAATCAGGAGACTACAATCACAAGAATAATAGAACCCTTACTTTCATAAATGCCAATTCTGTAGATAAGTCCAAATATTTTAGTATCACTTTGAGACATCAATTTTTTACCAGAAAGAACTTGTTAAATTTAACTTATTTCTACCTTATTTAAAACCCACAGTATATTAACAGTGTTTGTGTACTGTTCCAGCTATTTTTCTATGCATTTATATACCTGGCTATATGCTTCCTTTCAAATGCTACATTGTAGTCCACAGATGGATTTAAGTTATTGATGTTAAAGCAAAATAACATAATCAGATTAAAAAGGAAGTTCAGACTTGGTCTACTATAATTATACAAAAAAAGCCTAAAAGATCACTAGATTTTTTTAGTCTCTCCTAAAAGAAATGCTCACACCTATAAACAGTGGTTTCAACAGTATAATTTTATGCTCTTTAAATTCCAAACTGTGTGCTAATTCAAAAGAAATTATAAACTAAGATGAAAAGGTATCCCTGTATTAACACAAATCACAATTTTTAAGTCTTATATCATTACTTTTAACTATCTTAATTGTGCACTCATAAGGCAGGAAAGTAAGAAGCTAGACAAATTCCTTGACAAGCGACATAAGCAAAACTGAAACAAAATAATTAAACAAGGCCCAACAATTTGAGCAATTTACAGCCAGCTAATGAAACTCAAGGCTTTATCTTCCCAAACCAAGGACACTTAGGAACAAATGGTTTCCACATTCCAGACAGTCCTGGGGCAGACCAGCCTTGGTCCTGGTCCCTCTTGGATGTTTTAAAAAAAAGAAACTAACCAGAAAATAACCCTGACCCCTCTATGGCCACATTTTGAAGAATCAATATATTGAAGGACACACCTGGAAAGCTAATGAATATTCTGTTAAGACCCTTCCTAGGATTCCCAGGGCTAAAGAAAGATAAAAAGTCTCAAGACAAAGGATCCACAGTACTCTCTGGCCTTTCTTTCTTAGGTGCGTATCTCTACTTTCTCCTAAACTCCAAGGGACCGCAGGAGACTTGCAACCAAGGGAGGAGCGGGCAGTGGCAGCTAGTCCCTGGCTTACCCCCTGAACCTATCTCCAAGGCCCCCATTTTCTCTGACTTTCCAGTCAGCTAACAGCAGCCCCGCCTTGGCTCACTTTTGTCACTGTGACTTTTATATCTCATGAGTTCATGCAGCCCAGAGTGGCTCACTTCTTTCCTAGAACGTTTCTAGGGAGCCAAAGCAGCCCTGCCTAAGCTCTATCCTGTTGCTTCTTCCTACCATAAGCCCTTCCTTTGTTTTACTGCCCCGAGCTTTAATAAACACTCTCTAAACCACTTGGACTTGTGTTGTGAAATCTTTCCTGCACCCACACTACCAGCCAGCCCCAGGGAGACCCGCTCTGGACCCAGTCCCCTGGTAATACTTATATGGAATATCTTTACAAATAAAGTTCCCAGATATTAAAAACAAAAGTAAAACGAACCACTTCAGGCAGCTTCAGCATATAAACATCTAGAGTTCAATCCTCTCTTTTTCTTAAAACAATTTTTTTAGAGTAGTACATACATATGACTAATCATATAAAATTGTACAGAAGGACGTAAATAACGCTCAATCTTTTTTCCACCTTCCAATGGAATCTTGACCTAGTAGACAAAATCTAGCACCAGCAGCGTAGATGAGTCAGTGACCATGAAAAGGAGTCCCTGAAGCCCCCAAGTGGTTTCCTCAGTCTTGACGTCAGAATGGGGGGAAGTAGGGAAGACTCCTTTGATTGCAAAATATTAAAAATGCAACACTAACAATAACAGCTCTATAACAACACTAACAATACTTCCATCTTCAAACAGAAGCCTAAGGGGAAAATTGTATCTTACCCTTGTGCATACTGATGAGCTAAATGGTATGTGGTCAGCTGTCAGGCCTGTTCTGCAATGTGAATGGGTTGTAGAAGGTGCCCTTTCACTTCCAGGTGGCAGCCAGTATTTTTTAACAGGAAATAAGACCCAGCTGCTTGTGACCACAACAGGGGATCTAAACTACATCCCACTGCAGGACAGATCCTTAAAGCAAAATTGCTGTGTGGTTCCCCAAATAAGTCTTGTATTGATAATTACAAGGAATTCTTTATCAATCACCCTAGACGACGAAATAAAACACAGAGCAAGATCCAAAAGCTTGAAATTAAGGTGGAAAAATGTTAAAAATTCTCCTTCTGGAAAAAAAGACATTATAAAAGAGTCTTTTGGGACAATTAAGGAAAACTGAAGGGAATAGTGGAAGAGTCAACATGATAGGAACAGTGGGCCAGAATGAGCCACTGCCTGTTTTTCGGTAAAGTATGACTGGAACATAGCCATGTCCATTCATTTATGTAGTGTCCATGGCAACAACAAGAGCTGAGTAGTGACAGAGACCACATGGCCTGTGAAGCCTCAGCTGTTTACTACCTGGCCTTTTACAGAAAAAAGTTTGCCGAACCTTGGATTAGGGTATTAAGGAATACCATGGAATTGGTAAGTTTTCTTAGATGTGACGACGAATTTAAGTGGTGGGGATATGGCTGTTCTGTGTACTACTTTTTCAGTGGTTCAAATATGTTTTAAATTTCTCATGATTTTTTAGCTGGAAAACAATTCACCCAGGTTGAAGCTCCCCTTCTTTTTGCAGGCTTTTGTTCTAAGTCTCACCTGTTTTTAGATGAAATGTCATTTCTAAGGCAATTACGCAGTACAACAAAACTCTACTGCAACAGTGAAATGTGCAAAGCTCTGGACTCCATTCTAACTAGAATTTACCTGTTTAGGTCATATCCTGTTTCATCACCTTCAAGAAAAGATAACCCATTCTCCTACTTCCTTGTGCTTATCAATGTTTGAGAATGCATTTATTGAGGAAGGAAAAGGTTTGATAATGAATGGATGTTATTAAAATATTTTTATTTTTTACATAGTTCCCAGCACATAGAATCAATTCTCTTTTAAATTACACATTTTTTTTTGAGTGTTAAATGATTCATGTTCATTGAAAAGAATATCATGCTTCCAATGTGGGTTGCTGCCTGGTTTTGTTGCCACTTCATACATTGTGCTTACATAACCTGATCCCTTCTGGGAATCAGAAGCAATTTCCTGAGTGGCATATCACTTCCACCTTAGAACAATGGCAGAAAATGGTAAACTTAGCAAATACAATGCCCTGAGGTCCAGCGACTGATACCAGATCTGCAGTTTGAAATCAAGATGATCTTGAGTCTGTTTCCTTATGTTTAAAAGGTTAGTAGCCTTAGCGAGTGTGGTCAGTTGGTTGAGTGCCATCCCATGCACCGAAATGTTGCCCAGTTCAATTCCTGGTCGGGGCAAATGCCCAGGTTGTGAGCTCAATCCCCAATTGGGGTGCGAGCCGGAAGCAGCCGATCGGGTTTCTTTCTTTCTTGTTTTTTTTCTTTCTCTCTCTAAAAAAAAAAAAATCAATAAAAACACTAAAAAAAAAAAAAAAAGGATAGTAACAACTATCCTACTTGGGATGAAAGAAAGGTTGAGAGGGTCCAATAACAGAGTGTAAAAAGGTTTGGCATGTAAACCCTAAACCATTACGGCCAATGGGCCCAATTAAGCAGCTGTGTGTTTTTGTAATAAAGTTTTACTGGAACACAGCCATGCTGTGTCTACGTATGGTTTATGGCAGCTTTTGCACTAAAGTCGAGTAGTTACTACACACCATATGGTTGGCGAAGACAAAAGTATTTGCTATCTGACTCCTGACAAACAATGAATTGCTGACACACAAATGTGTGTTGATCACTAAATCTCACAGTGCAAAGAAGCCTTTGGAGAACTTGCAGTTGAGTATCTTCATTAGATACATTGAACATGTGGCTCAGAAAGGTAAAATGACCCGTCTAAGGTCACGCACACTTGATGTGGAATTCTGAAGCACAACACTGCTACCACCTGGCCAAAATTAAGGTGGGGTAGATACAGAACTCGAAGCTAGTGAGGCCACTTGGGCCTCAAGTTCGATCGGCTGGTGTTGGGTGACCAATTGGTAAAAGGAGGAAGTCAGAGTGAGCTTAATCACAAATGTGGATCTTAACTGACACCTATCTGTGCCTGTGGCAGCAAAATCTGGAAGTGGGAGGCAAGTTTCCAGGAGTCCAGGGAGGCTCTCAACAGGAAGCCTGTAACAATCTAGGTAGGTCTCCTTGATCACCCAAGACCCACTGCAGGGGCTGGAGAAGGGGATGATGGTGGTGCTATTTATTTAGTATTTATTTAGTACTGAACAGAGCCTACTGTTAGCCAAGTAACTTTCATGAACTTGTTTGATTTCATTCGACCCTGACTAACACCATATGGAACAGGTTGGTAACCTCCCCATTGAAAAACATAGATTCTGAGGCGCAGTGGTTAAGTGACTTGCTGAAAGTCACACTGCTGCCGAGAGGACAAGTTGAGGCTCTACTGGGTCTTTTCGACCTGGAAACCCATGTTTTCCATATCAGGATACAAGGCACATCCGACAGGTGACAGAATGAGGAGGGCACCTAGCTGGTAAGGTGGCTGAGCAGTGGTTCAAACCTCGGGCTGAGGGCGAGTCCAGAACTGCATTTCCCATCCCAATACAAGTTTCTTACTCTCAAGAGTTTTTCGATCAAAGTGTAACAGAGAGAGAAAAAAAAAAAAAAGTTTTTCGGCCTGTCCCATCTCCAAGTACCCTGAGGTCTTCCGTCTCATCCCTCCGGGGCCCCCGGAACAGAGTTCAGCCCCGCCAGAGGAGGTAGGCGGTGCTCAGCCACCCCTCGGGGCCCACCCTGGGTGGTCGTCAGCCCCGTGTGCGGACAGCCGGAGACTCTGCACCTGTTGCCTCCCGCCCGCAGGGCGCCGCCTACCTGCCGCGGGGCCGTCAGGGTCCCGTCCACGTCGAAGAGGCAGAGCGCTGGGCCGGGCGCCGCCATGTCTCCAGACCCTACTGCCTCACCTGACGTGACCCGCCCGCACCAGGAACTCGGCCCGGAACTTCCGGGTCCAGCCCCCGTGCTGCAGGGCACGTCGGGAGGAGGAGAATCCATTCCCACAACGCCTGGGATCCGCGTCAGCTATTCTCTCCGGACCACAAATCCCAGAATGCAACGTTCCTCACGCAGTCCCGCTGCGGCCGAGCATGCGCTCTTAGAGATCCCGACTGCAGGTGGGAGCGCGCAGCTGGCGGCCGAGCCATGGTAGGAAGGCGGCTGGTGGGGACTGAGGGAGGCGACGCGCTTTTCGGGTCGGGGTCAGGCCTGGGACAGGCTGGCCGATGCGTGAGGTCGTGAGAAGAGTGCCCCGGAGGGACTTCCGGCGTGGGTTACGATTTGTTATTCCCGGGCTTCCTCTGCGCTCGGGTCACGTGCGTCCACTACCGCGATGCCAAAGCTCGCAGGGCGCTCACCGTGCGCCAGGCCCATCAAGTGCTCTTGAGGGCTTTGGAGCCATCGTCTCAGTATATTCTGAATCCCCATTTGAAAGATGAATATACTGAGGCCTAGGGAGGTGGCGTAACTTGCCCCAGGATCCACAGCTGGTGACCTTAGGAGTCTGGACTGGGACCCAGATCTGGTTCCAAAGCAGCTTTCGCTGTGACTACTCCAGGTGTGGAACTTTGCACCTAATAAAGCCCTCGTGCCTTTGTTTGGTGCCTTCATCCCTCTCTCCTCCTCCATTCTTCCCCCTCCGGCTAATTAGGCTAAGAAAACACGTTTCCTCCAGCACGGAGATGACGTTCCCTTCAGCACCTGACAGAGACTCGGAAAGTTATTGTGCTAAATATCTAACGGATTGTTCTCCCTCCACTGGGACAGTGACTGTTCCGTTTCCTGCTTGGGGAATTGTTCACCCAGCCTTATGGAGCCAGTGCCCCGCTCAGAGTTGTCTTTCCCTAGGTATTTAATGAATGAAGGCTGTGCCTCCTTCCTGTACTTACTTGAACTGCCTGGAGGAAGGAGGACCCTGAGAGTCAAACTCTGTCCCACTCACTGGCTGTGTGTCTTTGGGTAAATTTCTTACCTTCTCTAGGTTTAGCTTACCTCAGTGGTAAAGTGAAAGTAGTGGTTCCTATTTCACACAGCTTTTGTGAAGATCACACAGGGTAGAGCATCTGGCTTTCCCTTTCCCTTTGGAGATAATAGTGACCACACAAGATTGGCGGGAGCTCCCATGTAAGATGCTTTGTAGATGTTCATTGTGTGATGAGCATGGTTGAGTTCTTTGACAGAAATGGTCTCTTGTCTCCCTTCCAGGCTGCCCTCGTCCGAGCTGTGCAGCGGTTGCCAGGGCCAGCTGTGTGGGGAAGGCCTCTCTACGGGCTGCAGTGCTGCAATGGGCAGGATTTTAGGAGGTGGGTAGGGAGCAGGTCACCCACCTCGAAGGAAAAACCACCAGGCACAGAGACAGAGAAATTCCAGATGATCTACCGGTTCGATGCCATCAGGGCCTTTGGGTACTTGTCTAAGCTGAAGGTGGCACAGACAGCCCTTACAGTGGCTGCCCTGCCACCTGGCTTTTACTGGTACTCCCAGGGCCTCATGACTTTCAACAACCTGTGCCTTGTGGGTGGGATAGCTGGCTTCGCTCTGGCCATGCTGTATTGGATGAGCTATTTCTTCCGGCGGCTGGTGGGTATCCTGTACGTGAACGAATCAGGCACCATGCTGCGGGTGGCCCACCTGACCTTCTGGGGCTGGCGGCAGGACACATACTGCCCGGTGACTGAAGTGATCCCTATGACGGAAACACAGGACCGGTCCCAGGAGCTTTTCGTTCGGATCCAGCAGTACAGTGGGAAGCAGACCTTCTACCTCACCCTGCGCTATGGACGCATCCTGGACAGAGAGCGTTTCACACAGGTGTTTGGGGTGCTGGACACGCTCAAGTGAACAATGGGACACTGGGCTTCCAGGTACCCCTGGGCCACCTGGATTTCCGACTGAAGGCTGAGGGTGTGCGTGAGGCTAAAGCAGGGGATCTGATAGCTGGAGACTTCACCAGGGCCCATGGGAGACTCATCTGTTGGAATGAGGAAATTCATGAGGCAGATACTAGTATCCCAGTTTAGGAAAGCGGCCTTACTGCAAATTCTTTTTCTTTTTTTAAAATGTTTTATTTATTTCAGAGGGAGAGATAGAAACATGAATGATGATAGTCACTGATTGGCTGCCTCCTGCATGCCCCCTACTGGGGATTGAGCCTACAACCCGGCATGTGCCCTTTCCAGGAATCAAACTGTAACCTGGTTCACACCAGCTGGGCCTTAGTGCAAATTCTTACCATACTTGTGTATGATAGTTAGGTAATGGCCAGAAGTGTATGTTAAGAGTCTGTTCTTGGAAGAAGCTGTGCCCAGTTCACTTTACATACAGTGCTGTGGAATGGGGAGATGGGTGTGGCGGAGGGAACACAGGATTTGGAGTCGGAAGACTTGGGTTCTGTTCGTTCTTAATTCCCTGTCCTGGGGCAGGTAACTGAGTCTCTCTGAGCCTTGTTTTTCACATTTGTAACATGGGAAGTCCTGCCTGTCTCGTAGGATGGGTTGACATTAAATAATAAATGTCAAGTGCTTTGCAAACTCAGCAGGCAAGAGCAAACGTTAAGTGTTAGCTCAGAGATGATGTTGTGGTGGTGCCCAGCAGCAGACAGGACTGGGATGAAGCCTAGAGGTGGGTCATTTCCTTCTGCCAGATGGTAACTGCTCGACTGGGACGGAAGTGTCACCTAAGCAAGCATAGCACCCCTACTGAGACAGGGTTCACTACCCAGAGGTCTGGGGGCTCTCATGTCGGATGCCTCTGTGGACTTTGTGTTTCTGGGCCAAATTTTTTGCCTAAAGAATAGGTTCTCCGACCCTGGTTCCATGTGCAGAATCACCTGGAGAGCTTTTCAAAAATACTGTTACCCATGGACAATGGTGGGGAGAGGGACTGGGGAGGGGGAAGGAACGGGGTGGAACGGGTCATTGGGGAGAAAAAGGGACATCTGTAATATTTTAAACAATAAAATTTAAAAATAAAATAAAAAAATAATACTGTTACCCAGGCCCATGACCCAGTCGACAGTCGCTGCCTGGAATTCCAGTCTCACCACACTGGGAGGTGAGAGCCTGGATTCTCAGCAGCCTTGGCATGAAAGAGCTTCCATTTTGATGTGTGGCCTGCTCACGCAGTACCAGCAGAGGGCACACAGAGCAAATGCATTATCCGTCCCTTTATGCCTGAGCTAAAGTTACAGATCTCCACGGAGGAATTCTCCAGTGGGAATTGGGTTAGGGCTTCTACAACATGTGTAGGGCAGCACCTGGGAGCTGTCAAAAAAAACCCAAATCGACATCGACAAAGACAGCAAAACTTGCCTGTGTTCAATCCCTGTAGATTCTCGTAGAAGCTGGGCATCTGTATGTTTGTGCTTCTCAGGTAATTCCAAGGCACCCTGAGTTTTGAAAGTCATTGTGTGGGGTCTACCCTTCCCCAAAACTATGCAGCAGCTTCTCAGAAAATGGAAGTGGTCTTAAGATTCAGGTGGTGGATATACTTGTGATTACCCCCTTTGACAACAATTACAAAATAGTAATCTAATAGACATACCCAAGCATACCTATAAGGTTGTTCACTGAATGTTTCTAATAGCAAAACAAATAGTACCAACAAAACTGGAAGTAAACTAAGTTTACATTAGGCAACACGGTTAAATAAATGTTGGTAAACTGTAATTGAAAAATAAAATTAAAAAAATGTTGGTAGATCTATACTATGGGATATTACATGGCCCTTAAAAAGAGTGAGGTTGAGCCCTGGCCGGTGTGGCTCAGTTGGACTGTTGTTCCATACACCAAAAGATGGCGGGTTAATTCCTGGTCAGGGCATGTGTGGGAGGCAACCAATCAGTGTTTCTCACATTGATGTTCCTCTCTCCCTCCCTCTCTCTCTCCTTTCCCCCGTCTCCTTCCAAGATCAATTTTTTTTTCCAAAGAATGAGGTTGAACTATATCTGCTAATGTGGAAAGGTAACCATGGGGTAATGTTACGTGGAAAAGACAAGTCACAGAACAATGTAGTTTTGTGCGATCTTATTTGTGTTTAAAAAAATGCAGACATTCCAAATTGTTAACTAATTACCTCTGGGGAGAGTATTGAGGGTGGGAGGGGTGGATGAATGAAGGGAAGATTTCTACTTTCAATTTTATAACCTTGTATTTAAAAGTTCATAATGAGCAAGTCATCTGTCTTAACAAATGAAGAAAAATGCTCTGGTAAACGCAGTCTTGTCTTCGATCCTTTCCTCACGTCAGCATTCTAGGTAAGGAGAAGTTTCTCAACCATGAAGTCCCACTCTGGACTTGGAAGCTGAGTTGACAGTAAAACATTCATTCATTGAAAGTGTCAGGGGGACGGAACTGTGTCCCTTGTAGCCTGGTTTTCCTGTCTGCTGAGAACCGTGTGGACTTTGTGCCCCTCCATCCAACCCCTGGGCTGGAAATAATTTAGATGCAGGGGATGGGGTGGTCTGTAGCATGTCAGTTTTTACATGGTGGTTGCTGTAGACCAAATTGTCCTCCTTAAGGTTCATATGTTGAAACCACAACCCCACTGTGATGGTTTATTTTTTATTTTTTTAATTCTCACCTGAGGATATTTTTCCATTGCTTGTCAGAGTGGAAGGGGGTGGGGGGGAGAGAGAGAGAAACATCGACGTGAGAGAGACACATCAATTGGTTGCCTCCCACATGCACCCTGACCAGGGCTGGGGATCAAGCCTGTAACCGAAGTACGTGCCCTTGGCCAGAATTGAAGGACACTTCAGGTTGAGGGCCGACCCTCTAACCAGTGAGCCCAACCAACTAGGGCAATGTGATGGTTTTGGAGGTGGGGTCTTTGGGAGGTGAGGCTTAGATGAGGCCTTGAGGGTGAGGCCCTCACAATGGGATTAATGTCCTGATAAGAGGACTGGACTGAGTGCACTGCGGAGGGCCGTGTGAGGACATAGCCAGGGAGAGGCCTGCACCAAGAATCTGACCATGGCCTTCCAGCCTCCAGGACTGTGAGGAAATGTTTGCTGTTTAGGCCACCTAGCCTATGGCATTCTGTCGCAGCAGCCCGAGCTGACTAAGACAGGGTCCTCCAGACCTCGGCGAGGTCGGCTCTAGCTGGGGATGTCCACATTGTGCGTGGCCGAGAGCTGTTGTCCTTCCTACGCTGGTTACCAAAAATGAGACTGACCTTGTCATAGGGCCAGATAGCCCACCCCAGCCCATGGTTCAATGACCGTGTTTAATGCGCTCCCCAACAGATGTGTGCTTAGCTGCTCGGGGGCCAGCCGGGGGTGAATTGTCCGTGTAACTAGGGTTGCAGCTTTCCTCGTGCTGCTTTATGATTTCAGGACTTGAGTCCCCAGATGGGAAGCAAAGTCCCCTTTGACCCCCAGGCAGAGTCCAACTTTTATGGCCTTGTTTTGACCCTACGTCATTCAACTGTAAAATCTTGGCTGATTAGAGTTAATCAAGCAGCGCCGATACCATCTGGCCATGTTTGTACCAACTCCACTGACAAAACATCCGTTTTACTTATTAACAGTTGAAATATATCCCAGCATTCAGTTGAGTCTACCTGTGCTGGGAAGTAGATTTAATATTTACGAACGAGGAACTTAACTCTGACAGAAATACGTTGTTTAGAACCACATGTGCGACGCTATACACAGAGACGAAGCGGAGAAAGGAAGTACCATGTATTAAGCACCTACTGTAGGCCGGGTGATTGTCACATGATTTTATTTAATTCTCTCAGCAACTGTTTCAAGTTGGAGAGCCAGAGACAGGCAGCAGATGTAGGGTGAAGCACATGGCTTTGCAGCAGGCCTTTTTTTGCCAGCTGGAATCCCAGCCCTGGCCTTCCTAGCTGTGACCTCGGGCCAGCTACACAGTTTCTGTTGGTTTCTTACCTGTGAAGCAATGAAAATACAAGCACTGGCTTTGAGGGGATTGGCTCACTACGTGAAAAGCACTTAGAATAGCTCTTGGTCCGGGAAGTGCTGTGTTAGCTGCATTGCTGTTACCAACCGCATTTTCCAGATGAGGCTCTGAGAGGTGAAGTGATTTGCTCAAGGTCACCCAGCTAGAAAGCAGCTGCCTTGGGTCATTCTGCTGCCTTGTCCTGCCTCCCCAGTGGGGAAGAGGTATCGGAAATAGAAAACAGTGATTGTTTTTAAACAGTATTTGACTTTGAGGTTCTGGGACCTTCCACCCACCTGCCTTAGGACTGTATGTTTAGGATCTCACACCAGGCTGACCAGTTCATGTTCCCAGGCCAGTGGCCAGGCCGGCTGTGTGAAAGGTGGTTGGGTCATTGGTAGCCCCTACCCTCCACCAATCCCACGCTGACTGCGTGCTTGCACATGTAAACATCTGATCATACACATCACCTTTCATACATCTGCGTGTATCCCGGCTTCCAAGCTGTGTGATTTTGGGCAGGTTCCCCTGACCTCTCTGAGCTTCAGTTTCCTCATAGTAAGAATAGGTACACAAACACATAGCTCCTGGGTTTGTTGTGAAAATTACAAAGCACCAGAATATATTGCACATTGCACTATGTGTATTTAAAAAATACATTTAATGGTAGATATTGCCTTCCAAGTCAATTGTTTCATAGATATGTCGGATGTGGAAGCTGGGAGAAACCTTGGAAATTGTGGTCCAAACCATACATTTTACAGGTGAGAAAAATAAGGGTGATAGAAGGCCGCTGAGACAGCTGGGAGGGGAAGTGAGCCATGCCACCGTCCCTGCTTCCCGGTGAGGACACCAGGAGGAAGGCGCAGCTCACAGGTGCTTACCAGACCTCTTCTGGGCCTCCTGTTGATCCCAGGCAGTCATCAACTTACTCCCTCAATCGGCCACGGAGAGAATCAGATTTAATTGGTTTAGTGTGGGGCCCCAGCACTAGGATTGTTTGAAAAGCTCTTAGGGCGACTCTAAACTGCACCCAGTGTTGAAAGTCACTGTCCTGTATGTTTTGGATTCTGTGCTCCTCTTTCCCTCTCCATCCATCCCATTGTCCTAGTTAGACCACCAGGTCCTCTTGATTGTGAGTGTCCCGACCAGTCTCCCCACCTCCCTGCTTGTCAGGGTGAATACTTGGGACAGTCTTTCTAAAATGCACATTGGAATATCCCCCTGCTGCAAACCCTCGGCAGCTCCATCACTGTGTGGCAGGCCCCGGCCCTCAGCACAGCAGAGGGCCTCTGGCTCAGGGCCCTGCCCGTGCTCTGGCCTGCAGGCTGTTCTGGAACCCCACCCTTTGTGACCTGGTAACGCTGAACACAGAAATGCCTTCTGCCTCGCCCTACCATTAGGCCTTCAGTGAGCTAGTCTCTCGAGCTGGAATGCTTTTCCCCTCCTGAGTTCCTGGAGCAGTTCCTGCTCAACCTTGGAGAGGAAACTCAGGGGCCTGCTCTTTGTGCACACACAGCATCTAGGCTCTTCCTGTATCCTGGTCCTTCCCCTGGGTTGCTGTGACTTTTGCCCCACTACAAGGTAAACTGAGGGTAAGGACCACATCCTGTCCATCCCTATCCCATGGTATGTCCTTGATGAACCCTGGTGAAATTAATGGCTTCCCAGGCCAATGCAGACTATGCAGATAGAATGTTCCCCTAAGACATCCCTAAGAGGTATATAATAGGTGCTTAATAAGGATTTGCCAAGCCAGGTATATAATAGGTGCTTAATAAGGATTTGCCAAGCCCTGGCTTGTGCGGCTTAGTTGGAACATCCCATGCACCAGAGAGTTGTGGGTTCGATTTCCGGTCAGGACACATACCCAGGTTGTGTGTTTTCTCCCTGGTTGGGGTGCATATAGGAGGCGACTGATCAATGTTTCCCTCTCTCTGAAATCAATTTTAAAAACCCAAAAAACTACTTGCCAAATAATTACTTAAAACCATTTCCAACCAAAAAAAGCCACATTTACTCTGATGCTTCCATTATAAATATATTTTTTTAAATTTAACAATACTGATTAACACAGGAAACATTTAATTCATGGAATTGTGCATATGGTCATCAGTTACATTGTGACATGTTAATTTCTTTATCATTTATTGGCACAGTCAACAGAATACTGTAAACAAGATCACTTCGTATGCATAAATGGGCAATGCTCCCTAGCTATGGTTTTCTACCATGAGCTAATACATAGATACATAGATAGGTATAGATATATTAATGTGCACAATTTTGCATGGTTACTGAGTGTCAGTAAAAATTATAAAAAACACCCATTTATAATAAAAGGGAGGATGTGCTAAGACTTGCTATTACTGGACCTTGTTTTCTGTAAAAGTGACAAGATTTGCTAGAGATACATACTAAACTCTATGGCACTAATAATGTATGATGGACCCATTTCCAGACCCTTGGCCACAGAAGCACTTCTCCCTGGGCTCTGCTCTACATGGTAACCTACCCACTGCCCCCTGTCCCGGGTTTTCACCAACCTCTTCCAAGTTCCTATGATCTTGAGCTCTGCTGAGAATTTTTTCCTTGAAATTCTTCCAACTAGACCCCCACTCCCAAAAGCAGATGTTTCAGGAACTCTTTATGCCGAGCCAACAAAAACTTGATGAATGGCTTAAAAAGTTTCACGAGAATAACTTCTCTTGGTAAGGAGTAAGTCTGGAAATGACTTTCTAGATAAAGTGGCTTCATTTTTTTGTCAGTGCCCTCTGGAGAGAGAACAAAATATCGGAGCCATTCTCTCCACCAAATAGAGCCAAGTTTCTGGTTGTGCCTTAGCTTAACTTTTGGACTCCAGAAATCTTATCGTATGTTTGCATCCAGTGCTAAAGTTCTCAGACAAATCATACTCATACCAATAAATGAACTACGGATTGGTTTGCATTTTGCTTGTTTGTTAAATAAGGCCTTGAATCCTGAACTACTGCCTGTGGATCTGAATCCCCAGTGAAAGGTGTGGGACCGTGAACTGGTAGGTCTTTGCACATGCTATTCCCTTTCCGCAACACTGTTCCTTGCCTTGTTTATTTGGTGAACTTTTGTTCATTCTGCAAAACCCTGCTCAAATATCATTCTCCTTGAAACCTCCTCTGACCCTTAAGTGGATTGAGGCACTCCCTCCAATTTCCTCATGCTCCTATACATACCTCTGTTACAGAACTTGCCACTCAGCTTTAATTAATTGGTTCAAGAGTCTGTTGTCAACAGTTGGATGTGAATCCCCTGAGAACAGGGAACATGATTTATTTCAGGTTTGTAATCCTAATGCTTAGCACTGGGCCTGGGACAGAGCAGGTATTTAATGCAAGTTTCATGAATGAATGATTGAATAAATATACAAACAAGTGAAACCTCGCAGAGAGGGCGGGTCATACATCTCCGTGCAGTCAGCAGCATAAATGGCCTTAAATCCGGCAGAACCCCTCCTTTAAAGCAATGGATGAACACTGACTGCAAGAATGCAAAGTGAACCGGAACTCACGGGTCTGCCATGTCTATTAGGCATGTTAGTGCCTTTCGTTCTTAACAAAAACATGTTGACCAGGCCTGCTGGAGAGTGGAAGCTGGAAAAAACCACGGTGAGATCTTTGGGTGATTAGTTATTAAAAGAGCTCATGAACTCAATCAGTTCCCAGAATGCGTAGCCTTCAGCGGAGTTCCCTCAGCCTCAGTCATAGTGCAGTTAAGCCTCTAAGGAGCACGTTCATCTCCACACTCGTTCATGTCAGGAAAACTAATTTGGAGTGGCAGGGACAAGGAAACTGCCTTGAGCCAACAGCCTATTGTTTCCAGTGCGGAGCTCTGGCGCCTTTGATTCATGATGCTTCCCTCAAGAGATCTAGTTCAGCAACTGACTGCCTTGGATGGAAAAGCAAAGCTATTCCTAGTGTTGCTCAGAAGTGGAGCGAAGGTGGATGAGCCGAAGCTAGAGAAAGAGCCTCCTGGGTAAGGGGTCCCTGCAGGCAGACCCCAGATGCCTGGGAGACAAGAGGAAGTGACTGCTGCCCCAGGCCCTGGGCTCATGCTCCCGGGAGACTGGCTTGTGCTTCTGCCCCTTGGGCTCGCCTGTGTCCCCGGGTGCCCCCTGCCCAGGCTGCAGTTTTGTTTCTAGAGGTCTCGGTTGACATTTAATAGTGGGGAGAGAGCTTGGGGGAATGGAGGACAGCAAGTAAGGACCATCACTGATGCCACCCGGAGTCTCCAAGCCCCATCAGGGACAGAATTCACAGTTTACAGGAATCCCCAGGTGCACTGGGAGGAGTGGCCCAAGTCTTCAGAGGCCAGAAGACCCATTCCCACACCCCCTGGCTCAATCCTCATGTCCCTACAATCCTGCCTTCATAGATCTGTCCTGTCCTCTATTAAGCTGTGCATGGGACACGCTCAGAGCTCCAGGACTTGGGTGAGAGGGGTAAGCATGTTTATTTGCATAGGGGAGGGAGCCAATGTCCTTAGTCACAGAATATGGCACTTGAGAGGGACAGGAACCCAGGAGTCCCAGCCACCAGTCCCAGGAGCAGGTGTCATTCCCCTGACTGGCTTCCAAATAAATTGTTGGGGTCAATGGCGGGCAGATATATGGCTAGGACCCTCATGGCCCATCCTAAGACTCTGTGTGGGGCTCAAGCAGAATTTCTGGACTTAAACCAATGGGCACCATTGGCTCTGCAGGGAGGAAACCCAAACCAGTCCCTTCAACCTCTCCTTTCCCCCCAGCCACCAAAACCGTTCCCTCCCCACACACCACCCTTCAGTGTGTGCGTTCACCTGATACTTTAAGTGAAAACATGAATTAGGCAAACTAATCAATTTGACAACTGTGGAGATCAGGGCTTTCTCAGAGCACAGTGGAAATAAATGGCTTCTTTACTTGAAGTCAGCTAAGATGTCGCTGAAAATATTGAGGAACAGGTGTGCGTGGTGATCCCTGAAGACCAGAGTGGGACGGAAACGGATGGACTTGTCACCACAGCCCCCCAACACCACGCCTGAAAGAAACGGCAGGAGGTGGGTTAGGAGCTTGGGCGCAGAGTCACGGGCCGGGAGAGTCAGGAGGGTGCTGACCCACAGGGAACCCCCACCCGTCCATGCCATCCTTTCTATCCCAGCTTCCAGGGGTCCTTCCACCCACTCACCCAGCTGTCTTCCTTCCCTTTCTTTCTTCCTGCACCCATCTCATCCATCGCTCTCTCCTCTCCCTCCCCCCGTCCCTCCCACCTTGAGTGCCTGCTCTGCTGCCCCTGAACTAGGTCTGGGGACAGACAAACCCTGAGATTAGTCCTTGCCTTCCAGGTATTCATGGTGCGGTGGGAAAAAAATAAGTAAAACAAGCAAATTCGAAAAAGCGAGGCAGGTCCAAAGCATGCCTGTGGGCAGAGCTGTCACTCAGGAGGGACAGACACGGAATTTTAAAGGGCGACTTCACCACTGACTTCCTGGGTGTCCCTGTCTCGGCTGCTCAGCATCCTTGAGACTTGGTTTTCTCCTTTAAAGAGGAGGCAAGTCACCCTGCCCTTCAGGGCTGGTGCAGGGGTCCGTCCACACTATGGTAGAAGTCAAAGATACCATGCTCGACACATAGTAGGCGCTCTCATCTCACCACTGAATCCACCCCCATGAAACTCTCCCATGGCCCCCCACAGCGCTTAGGAAAAAGTCCAGAGTCTTGAACCTGATCCCCAGGCTGACATGATGTGGGCCCGGCAGGCCCTCCCTGCTTCATTCCCTCTAGCCCATCAGGCCCTAATCACACCCCATTCTTTCCATTTTTCCCAGCTCCTTCCTCTTTCAGCTAACTGTACCTGCCCCTCCCTCTGCCTGGACTGCTCTTCCTGACCATCTTCACTGGGCCAGCCCCTGTCTATTCGTCAATGCCACTGCCTCAAGGAAGCCTTCCCTGATTTCCTGGACATTTTCCTCAGCTATTCACTCTCTCTTTGGCCCTTTTCCTCTTCCCTAGGATTTACAAATGCAATCAGCTGTGATGAAATATTCTCTTTAATGTCACCCCTTCCTGCTAGATGGGAAGCTCCTTGAAGGCAGGGACCCTAATGGTCTTACTCATCATTACGACTCTCTCCAGGGTTGGTGCCAGTCATCTCGGTGAATACTTGGTGAATGGATCAATGTATAAGGAAATTGCCCTGGTAACTTTCTCTTCTTCTGAGAAAAACATTCCTCTATCTCACCTTCCCCTCATACCAGGGTAACACAGGGCACCCAGGAAGCCCAGCTCCCACTCCTGGTCACCTTACCTTTGTTTCTGGCTATTAGAATGAGTTTATTCCGGATGGACTCATCTGGAGTGTCGAAGGAGCAGAAGGTGCCTCGTCCTCTTACTCTGCTGATGAACTGGGGGTACCGGGCCTGCCATGGGGGAAACAAAGCTGGCATCATGGCCTGTCACCTGTGTACTAGCCAGTTCAGTGGCTGTGATTCCTCAGATGCCCCCAGGCTCCAGGCTTTTGGGTGGACTGGCAGGACCACTGCGGGGTTCAGAGCTCTGGCTCTGGAGACATTCAGTTCTGGGTTCAAAACTCAGCTTGGCCCCTTTCCCACCATGCAGCCTTGGGCAAGTCATTTAAGTGGCCTGTGCCTCAGTGTCCTCCTCTGCAAACCGAAGGATATAGATGCTATTGATCCCAATGTGCTGTGGTAGGAATTTAGTGAGACGAAGTTTATAGCCCAGGGCCTGGCACTTGGTAGGCACTCAGTGGACAGCAGCCATCTTTATTTATTAGCAATTCTTCTAGAAAAGGTGTGATTGAGGCCTGGGGCGGATTCTCCCTTGGAACCTCCAGAAAGAATCAGTGCTGCTTATATCTTGATTTCAGACTTCTGGCTTCTGGAGTGATGCAACCAAACCCTTGTTTTAAGCCACCAGTTTGTGATAATTTGTTAACGTGGCCCCAGGAAGCCAATACAGTCCTCCAGAGTAAAGGATCTTGGTTCCTCCCAATCTCCATTATCCATGTGAATGGATAAACCAAAATAATTTCAGGTCCTGGGGCAGAAATGGGGCAGAAATTGTTACAGCCCCTTGGTAGAAACTGGAGATAAAGTCAGATTCTGGTGAAAATAAAGCCCCACATATATGATGGGCTCTCTGCTAGGTGCTCACACACGGGATATTGAATCCCTGCTTCACTAGTGAAGGGCCCATTTTGGTCTCCACAGGTGAGAAAACAAGGCACAGAAGCCTCTCCAGCACTCGCTTTATCCATCCTTGCACTTGCTAACTGGCTGGGAGCAGGGCTTCGAACACACTCCTCTCTCCCATCAGAGTGCGGAGGCCGGGAACAAGGTATCATCCACCTGGACACCCCTTTGTGGCCCTTGTGACACACACACACACACACACACACACACACACACAGTAGGACACAATAACTATTTGATTAATTAATGCAGTAGTGGAAATCCCCTGGCCCTCCTCACTGTATGGCTTTGTGTGTTGCCTCTGGCCCTTCACCTCTACATGCGTCCTTTGTCTCGCCCATCTGTCCAGTACATTGTTCTAGGGCATTCCTGAACTCTCACCTCCTTCTTGCCTATAGCCTTAGGGCCTGATAAGGATGCCTAACTGCTCCCATCCCTTTACATGAGCCAGCTCAGGGCTCCTAAAAGCAAGATGTCAGTCTTGGCTCTGGGATGTTTCCATGGAAGCCTTCTTTGTAGCAACGTCTTGAATATGGAACCTATTGTGGACCCTGAGAAAGAAGGGCTCCTGGAGGCTAACTGGGCTCAAATTAAACAAACAAACAAACAAACAAACAAACAAACAAACAAAAAACAAAGCAACAGAGCCTAGAAGCCATTTCTACACAGGGGCCTCTCACGCAAACTGCACTTCAGGGAGAAGCCTGCACTGGACTGCCTGCCTGTGCTGTCTCTGCCGTCTGAGCCAGGCCTCAGGAAGGAGCTTCTGGAGTCCAATTGCAACAAACAGGACCGAGGCTCCCCATCCAATTGGAGCTGCACAGCTCCCACCAACCAGAGCTGCTCTATTCTGAACAATCAGGACAGTGCTTTTTGGACCAATCAAACTTCGAGGCTTTGGAGTCCTTATTTGCATGAGGACAGAACAATCAGGGATCAGGGGTAGGGACTTCTGTCTATTTAAGCCAGCTCCCCCCTTGCTCTAGGAGTGCATTTTCCCTTCCCAGCAGAAACTGAAGACTGTTTCTCTAGCTGACCAGCATGGGTGAGAGCAAAGTGGAGCAGAGCAGAGCCGTCAAGCTGGAGAGGGGCCTGGCCCCAGGGCCACCTCACAGCCATGCTGTATCACAATTGAGCTGTTTTACACTGAATAAAGTTTCCTTTTTCACCAACACCCCAAACTGGGGATTCCTGTTGGCGTGGAATTAGTGCCAACGACCATCAGTTGACACTACTTTGGGAAACACTGTCCTCAGAACCTGACTCAGGGGAAGCAATGTTTGTGCCAGCCCAGAACAACCAAATCCCCACCAAACCTGGCCCTGGCTGCATCCACATCTGTAAGCAGGGCCCAGACATCAACCAGGGAAACAAAGGACAGCTGTCTCTTCTCCTGCCCTGCTGGAGGACAGTGAAGCACTCCAGCAGGGAGGAAGGGCCTGACAACTGCAGAGGCTTTTTCTAGTGCCTGCTCCTGCTCAACCTCAGTTTAAATGCAAATCCACCCAAGAAAAAAAAAAAAAAAGAAATTCCACCCAGAGGGTATTAGTCGTCTTAACAGGCACACTTAAGCCCTTCAGAGTCTTTGCAATTGGACAGATCTGGGTTTAAAATCTGGCTCCCTTGCTGCTGCTCACCTTCCCAAGCCTCCCTTTTCTCATCCAGAAAATGAGGATAATCATATTTTCCTAAGTTGGAACTGCTCTGAGTTAAGGTTGCCCAATAAAATATAGGATTTCCCAGATAAACAACTTAGAACTTTTTGGTATAAGTATGTCCCAAATGTTTCAGGGGGTATACTTTTATGCTAAAAAAAAAAGAAGTTGCTGTTTTTCAAATTACACTGGCATCCTGTATTGTAATTTGCTAAATCCGGCACCCTGCCTGTGGGCCAGGTATGGTACCCGGAGCTCCCACCTCTGCACCTGCTGGAGGAGCAGGAGTGATGCCAAGCTGAAGGGCCGCCCGGCACTGTGAGAGCCATGGGTGGGGTCCTGGGACAGCTGGGGAGAGCTGAGCTGGGTGGGTACCTGAAGGTCCAGCAACCCCGTGAGCAGGGCCTTCCCAGCATGGGCTGCGTTATTCAGCAGGTCCTCCCGCTTGATGACATTGATGACCTCGGCCAGCAGCAGGTTCTTGGACGGGTCCCCCAGCCAGGTGTTAAAGATCCGGTATGGCTGGAAGAAGGTATGGGGCATTGGAAAGGCTCACACATGGGCACACCCTTCAGGGGCCCACTTCCCCCAGACACACCTTGTCCCCCATTTCAGAAGAGAGAAACTAACGCAAAGCATCTACAATGAATTATTCCAACAACGACCCTATAAGGAGGTACAACTATCAGTACGACTATGCGGGAGACCAACTCCTCCATGTGCTGGGAAACCCTTCAGTCTTGGGGAAATCAAGATAGCTGGCCCTCAACTATAATCTTCATTTTATAGTGGAGGAAGCTGAGGTTCCGAGAGGTTAAGTGATTTGTCCAGAAAAACTATAGGTGGTAGACTCAAGTGGATTGATGGCAGTCTGGCCTTCAAAGACCACCCAAATTATTCCTCCATGAATTATTCAGGGTGTCAATGCAGCCAACTAAAACATATTTCCCAGCCTCTCTTGAAGTTAGGAGTGGCCAAGTGACCAGATCTGAATCAGTGTTAGAAACAGAAGTGTTGTGGGATTACTGGAAAGGCCACTAAAGATAAAAAGAGGGTCACTTTGTGCTTCCCTCCTTTTTCCTTCTGACTGCCTAGAATTGGGATGGGATGGCTGGAGCTGCAGCAGCCATTTTGGACCATGAAGCATCCTCGGGGGTGGAAACTACATGCAGGAATGGTGGAAGGAAGGATCCCAAGCCCCTGATAACTCTGTGTGTGTTTATGAGAATCCATATGTACATGTGGTAGTACAGTGTAGTAGTTAAGAGCAGGACTCTGGGTTTGAGTCTTGTCTTTATAACTTAGTGGGCTGTGTGACCTTGGACAACTTACTTAATCAGTCTGTGCCTGATTCTTCATTAGTAAAATGGGAGTTAAAAATAACACCACCTTGGTTAGATTATCGTAAGGTTTAAAAGTACATGAGGACTACTTAGAACTGGGCCAGGCTCAGAGTAAATGCTCAGTTCACAGCAGCAGGTATTAACACACACAGAAAAGTTAGAAGACTGACAATGGCCTGATATGAAGTCAGCCCTGCAGAGAGGGCAGGGTGATCATAATCACTGGCTAATTAAATCGATAAGAATTGGGCCTTAGAAAACTTCTGTGACTCATTGTGTCCACTCAGTTCCTGGTTTGTGAGAAAGGAGCAGTCATGTGAAAGGAATGCTGCTTCACCCCCCTCCTTCCCCTGTTCTGGAAAGGAGGGAAGGGAGGGCCTAGCACTCACGGCATTGGGCCTGAACTCCTCCTTGTGGAAGAAGCCCCCAGTCATCATCTTCTTGCTGAAGGTCATCACGTCTGCAGGGTCATCCAAGCCCCAGTGCTCATGGGCCCAGAACTTGCCAGTGCAGCCCCCTCCTGTCTGGACCTCATCCACCAAGAAGGCACAGCCATGCTGGAGAGAGAAGAGGGAGAAATAAACACCCACCACAATCGACCAACCTCCAACCCCCTCACCTGGCCAGAGAGTCCTTGTTTTCTGAACTGCAAGCCAACCCCATGTTCTTGGCAAAACTGAACAAATGCTTAAGTGGGCAGAGCTGTGTCTGGAAATTTCCTCCAGCTACTGAGCTGGAACCAAACCAGAACATCGAATACCCCCTGAACCAAAGCAGGGCAGCATCTCACTCGGCTTCAGTCCCTGAGCCAGATGACTGACGAGTGAGGCCCAGCAGTGAGGCCGAGCCCTACTTCCCCAACATCGTCATCGCCTGGACTATTATTTACTTAGTGTTTGTGTTTAAATCAAGTCATGTCATATAGCCTTCATCTGTGAACATGCTAGCTGGATGTGCCATTTGTACACGCAGGACATTAAAATAAGCATGACATTAACATGAAGTCTGTTCATTTAGCCTCTGTTGAATATGGACTACACTGGGCTAAAAGATGAGGGGGGGTCTCTAAGAAGAAAAAGGTGGAGGCTAAGTCCTTCCCAGGAATCTCTTGATTACAAAAGCCTCTGACTAAGGCAGCAGGCTGGAGACTGATTTGGCAATAAGATTTCAGGGAAGAATTCCCTATCCTGCCCCGCCTGCAAAGTCTTTACCCGTGAGGCCAACAGGCAGCCTTTGAATATCTGGGAGTTTATAAGGGGAGCAAAGCTACCCTTTGCTCTGGGAAACCAGATGAAAATGGGCTGTGGCCCCGTCCAACCTTGACCTAGGCACTGACCTTCCTGGAGATGTCTCTCAGCTTCCGGAAGAAATCATCCGACGCGTGGTTGTCTCCACCCTCAGACTGGATGGGCTCTACGATGATCCCGGCCACTGTCCTCTTCTTTTTCCGATATTTCACGATCAGATCCTCCACCTGGATTCCAAAGTGGAAACTGACAATGGCTCATGGAGGCTCTGAGCAGCACCCACGGATGGGCATGTGGGGTCCTGTGCTGCCCCCCGAGTTACATTGAAAATGTGTTTGTGTGCACTTCCGGTGCAGACTGCGATGCCCACTCAGAGCCACAGGTGTGGATGGGGATGTGTCCTACTTAGGACTGGGGCCAGCCTCTGTGGGGACAGACTGATGACTTGGAGCAAATCATTTAACTTTCTGAAGCCTCACTTTCCTGATCTGTGCAATAGGCATGCTGAAAAATCTATTTTTGTTACTGTTGTATTATTATTATTGGTTGGAGAGTCCTTTCTGTGCAGAATCTGGGATGAAAATTTGTTTGAGAAGCTGAGGTCAAACTCAGCTATAATAACAGATCCAAGCACTGGTTGCACAGGTGTGTGTGTGGGGGGGTCCTACACAGACTCCTCAGGCTGACCCAAGGACATTTTCCAAGATGATAAGATGCTTACATGAGTATATTTATTTGTCAAAACTTATTGAACTAGACATTTAAATTAGTGCATTTTACACTACGTAAATTATGCTAATAAGGTTGAAAATGATTTTTTAAATATCTGTTAACAGATTTTGGGGTTTGTAAGAAAAGCACCTGATTGTCACTAAGTGGTTATATTTCTCGAACTCTTGTTCTAATATGGGCATCATCTTATAGACAATTAGAGTAGCAATTGTGATACTTTACTAATAACTTAATAATTATACATAACTAAAAACCCTAGACCATATACCTAGATAGAACAAGGGCAATCTTTCTCTGTTATGCAGAAACCTCTTGTGTGGATGATGTGAGTTAGGCCTCGGTCTCCGCAGGGCACCCCAGGGGCTCTGAGGCACTTCCCTTTGCTTTCAGAGAATCATTTGCATGTTGTCATCCATGGTTTTTCTCATATCTGTTTGGTGCTGTGGTTCCCACTACCCTGCACTCTCCAATTAGATGGCGGCAAGCCACATGTGGCTACTGAGCACATGCAAAGTAACTGGTCCAAACCGAGATGTGTCTGAGTGTAAAACGCACAGGATTTCAAAGATTTAACACCAAAAAAGAATATAAAAATACCTCATCAATAATTTTTTAAAAATCCTCACCCAAGGACTTTTTTCCCATTGATTTTTTTTTTTAGACAGAGTAGAAAGGAGGGAGAAGGGAGAGGGAGGGAACATCGACGTAAGACACATCAATTACTATTTTGGATGGATTGGGTTCCATAAAATGTTACTAAAATGAATTTCACCCATTTTTCTAACTTTTATAAAATGCAATCGTTACAAAGCTGTACGACACGTGGAGCCTGCCTTATCTTTCTATGGGACAGGCTGTACTAGACTCCTTTATCTTGTCCCTTTCATTTACTATGAAATACCCAGCACCCAGCACTGCCTCACCCCTAGTAGGCATTCACTAGAACTCGAAAAAGAATATGCCTCAGAGGAAAATCAGCCTCAGATTAGCCTTATTTGAGCTCAAATCCCAACCTGAAGGGTGAAAGCCATTTCCTCCCAGCAACAGGATCGTTCCAGTGTCTTACCTGGAACCCCAACACATGGAACAGATCAAAGGGGGGCTCTTCTGGTTGAAGTGGAGGCATGGCGACAGGAGTACATGTCCTCAGTCCCTCCCCTGCCCCTTGCACCCCGAGGCTCCCAAAGCAGCCCTAGGACTCGAGAGAAGGCTGACAAACAGTGGACTAGAGGGTCCTGTGCAACCGCTTTTCTATGAGCTGCCCCATATTTTCTCCGTGGATTCATTTTCTCTAGTCCAGAGTCACTGAAGCTTGCCCCCGAAGAAACATGAATGATACTGAAACTGGCACCAGAAGTGGAGTGATGGATGCTGGGTGGCAAAACCTTCCCTGATATAGAACATTTGGACAGGAGTCCTCTCTGTCTTATGTTCCTCCCAGGGAGTGTGCCATGCAGGTTCCTCTTCCCTGGGGCAAAGGGTTGGGGTGTTGAGGGTAAGGGGACTGGGTGTGAGAAAGGTCTGGAAGGTTCGAGTGTTGTTACCTCTTCCAGGCAGCGGGCCTCTTCTTGTTGGTTCTCCTTCACAAACTCCTCCAGAGGGTATTTCAGCCGTGGGAATGGTGCAATGGGCCAGTCAAAGGAAGGGATGTCGATCTTGTGAATAGCTTTGGAATGTGTGGTCGCTAAGCAACCTAGGACCCCCAAAACAGAAGAGAAGGCTTGGTTTGGGGGAGCACAGTGAACAATCTTCAAAAAGCAGATGATGGGCATTTCAAGCCAATACTGCAATGCCCAGGGAGGCCTGTTGCCTGCAGAGCCCATTCCAGTAACAGCCTGAAGCCAAAGCAGAACCTATGAATCGTGTGTGTGTGTGTGCGTGTGTGTGTGTGTGTTTTGCTTTCCATTCATCACAGATTAAGCACAGGCTTTAAGTCAGAGAGACAAAGGTCCAAATCCTGTCTCTGTCACTGTGTGGCCTTGGAGTGTTTCTCTTCTTGCTGAGTCTCAATTTCCCCACCTGCACAGTGGCCATAAAAATCCCCTCCGCAGAGCAGCTTGGAGTCAATGAGACAAGGTGGGGAATCCGCCCACCGAGATCAAAGGCAGCGGCTGCTATTGTTGCTGCTATTACCACTCTAACAGCCACCTCGGGATCCCAGCGGCCCCTCCTTACCCATGGTCCTCCCGTGGAAGGCGCCCATGAAGGAGAGGATGCTGTAGTCGGGGCAGCCAGGGGCCTGGAAACAAGAAACAGTGTCATCGATCATAGCTGTGAGAAGTGGGGGGCTCTGCGGTTGCCCCTGAGAACATGGGGGAGCACCAAATTCTGTCAGAACAGATATCCCTCCTCAGGCCAAAGTCACAAACCGAATTCCCACTATTTTTTTTCCCCTCTTATTGTTTGTTTTTTTACTCCTCACCTGAGGATGTTTTTTTCATTGCTTTTCAGAGAGAGTGGAAGGTAGAGAAAGAGAGAGACACGTCGATTGTCTCCTGCATGAGCCCTGACCAGGGCCGGGATTGAGCCTGCAACCAAGGTAAATGTCCTTGGCTGGAATCGAAGCTGGGACCCTTCAGTCCTCGGGCCAATGCTCCAACCACGGAGAAAAACCGACTAGGGCTGAATCCCTACTTCTATAGCCAGGCAATAGATGTTTTGCCCACATGGTCCCACAAAATATTTTTAATCAAAAGATTTCACATAAATATCTGAACTGTATTCTCTTAAAGTCTGCAATATTTGGGCCCATTTTTGTTGCCTGAGCCTAAAGTCTGGGCAAGTGGCTGCTCCAGGGCCCACTGCCCACATTTCTCCTTCACATCACCTGCCACCACCAGCTGGGCTGCTTGGGGCTTCTGAATTTTCAATCCCTGTCTGCAGGCTCTTCCAACTCCTGCAGGCTGCCCCCCACCAGGCTGCTCTGGCTTCCACAGGAACCAGGTGGGCAAGGTGCTGACCAGTGCTTCCCACGACATGAGGCTGAGTGGGGCACCTCACAGGGAATGAATGCCCCAGGCCTCTGGAGCAGTTCTGCTGTGCCAGAGTAGGAGGGTGGGCAGGGAGGACCCCCACCTTTCCATCTCTCCAGGGCAGCTCAGCTGCCCATGTCCAGGAGGGACGCTTGAACTCCCAGTCCCCAGCGGATGGCACAGCTGCATTGTTTCCTGACCCTCCACCTGGCAAGGAATCACAGCTGTTTCTGGCTGACTCAGGTAGAACTACTGAGGATGCGGCAGAAGCAACCAGGGGGACCCCTAGTCTCTGGGAATTTGATACAGCATGTTATTTGGCCGGCTGATCCCCACCAGGTACCTGAGAACCCCCGGGAAAAGCTCTAAGAGCTCCTCCCACAAACTCCAGTAACCGTCCTGTCATTTCCCTTTGTTGAGGAAAGAAAACATTTTTCTTGTTCCTTTGTGTAAATGTAATATATACACATCACCACACATCTTTGGCTGCAGACATTAACCAGGGAGAATGAAATCTAAAAATATTGATGGACTAGGATGTCCATGGATAGCAAATGAGAAAGAGGCTGGGCACAATCCATTTCTTAAAAAAAAAGGCCAGAAGAAAAAAGAAAAAGCTTAAGTTTATGTAGGTTTGTATGACTGTGGTGAAGAGTATGGATCTATTGCTAGCAAGAGGCGGGATTAGAAATAAAAAATTAAGAAAGCACAAAGGAAAACAAGGAAATGAAACAATTTACCACCCCTAGGCATCCCATTATAAACAAGTTAGCAGGATTTCACAGTAATTTCCTGTATATTTATTTGCAGTCACTGTTTTCACTAAATTATGGCGTGCCTGTCTCCAAGCAGAGAAACCCGTCCTAACAGTTTTTGCTGCAGGATATTGCAGATGTACGCAGTGCGTAATTGAGTTCAGTGGCCCCCGATTCTTTTTTAATCAGCAGACGTTTCTGTCTAAATCGTAATGGGACCCCATGCGTGAAAGCGGGAAGGACAGGCGCGCTCTGGTTGAAGCTGGCTGCGGAGCTTGGGTCTACCTGCTTGGTTTTCCCTGTGGTCCCCATCGCTGCTGTTGAGTAGCCTTCATGGTGTTCCTGGGAACCCCTATACTTAATCCCTCTTTCCCTATTACTGAATATAGAGGTGGTTTCCTATCTTTTGGGTTATCAACTCTAAACACCAATGGGTGAATTCCCTTGTACATACATTTGTGTTGACATTTTGGATTATTCTAGAGACTACATTAAAGCCCTCCTTAGAAGGGGTTAAATTCAGGCAGTTGTTCTGAGAAACTGTTGTCCTGGGTTAGGACTTTGCCTTAATACCAACTAGGGAGGTAGAATTCTTGGGGGACCCCTTGTTATGAACTGAACGTTTGTGTTTCCCCCAAAATTCATAGGTTGAAGCCCTAACCTCAGTGCGATGGTATCTGAATGTGGGGCCCTGGGGAGATGATTAGGGTTGGATGTCATAAGGCCCCCCCCCCCCACAATGGGATTAGTGTCTTTATAAAAAGAGGCACAAGAGAGCTTGCTAACCCTCTCCCAGACTTGGAAGGACACAGTGAGAAGGCAGCTGTCTGCAGGCCAGGAAGAGCGCCTGCCCTGGGGAACCAAATCAGCTGGCATCCTGATCGTTGACTTCCAGCCCTCGTAACTGTGAGAAAATACATGTCTGCTGTTTAAGTCCCTCAGTCTATGGCATTTGTTATGGCGGCCTGTGCCGACTATTTGAGAAGGACAGGGTCCATTAACTAGCATCAGCCTGAGGGGGGCTGGGCAGTCCCTCGTGGAGGAGAGGAGAAAGGGCCCGCTCCACCTACCTGGTTGACCATGCACGTCTCCAGCTCCTCTTTGGAGAAACCCGTTTGACCCCTTTCCTTGTTCTGACAAAACAGAACAGAAGAAAATCTCAGAAATGCTCTGGGCTAGGAGGAATTTCCACTTTCTACTTGAAGCCATAGTTAGTCCAGACAACTAGAGAGTGATCTCTCAGGAGTTGATCTTATGTGTTGATTGAGGAATAGAGTGAATAAATAAAATGGAGTCACTGTGGTCAAGCTGCTAAATTATTAATTTCAAGTGGGCTGTGGCAAAAGGAAATGACTATTCTCTTTTTAACCGACTCTAGGACCTTAAACTTTTGAACCTTCCAGTCCCACGTCAGTATCTGGACGTACCTCGTGCGTGCGTTGTGTGTCAATGCCTGGACATACATCACACCTTCAGAATGACCTCAAGAAGAGAATGTTACATTGTCTAGACTGACAGACATCTGACAGTCACCATTGTGGACCAATCCTGAGGCTAGAATGCAGCACTGATTCTTCTCAAGAATGTGCTTTTTACTATAAAACTCCCAGACTTTTCTTTCTTCTTTGGAACACTCTGGGTATTGTCTAGGAGTGTTTCTGGTATGCAGACCTTAAGATCCTTGAATAAATTTTTGTTATTTTATTTCTAGTCAAAGCCTCCTGACTTTTTGAGTATGTTCAACATGATAATACCCTTATGTACTAAAGCATGAGATTGATATTGTGCTTGTAATGAAATAAATAGATGAATACATAAGATGCATTACTCTTCTGTTAGCAACCACTAAGATCTGCTGAGACGGTATATGTTATTCCAGGTATAATAGTGTAATTACACTGGGTAAGTTTGGTGCCAAAGCCTCGGCTCTTTGCACCATTCCCCACTGGGATGTTTGGAAAGCCCCATCAGGAAATGGCCCCCTCTGGGTTTTGAGCATGCTCACTGATGTCCAAAACTCTGGCCAGTTGGGATGAACAACAGGACAAAGGGTGCTGGGGAGCTTCTTGTGTGTGTGTGTGTGTGTGTGTGTTCACGTCTCAAACCTTACCCGGTACCACATGAAGATGGTCTTGAAGGCATTTTCATTGGAGCAGGAGCCACAGGCCATGGTAATGAGCTGGGACATTCCTTTAGGAGCCACCTGCAGGCAGAGAAACAGCTGTGGGCTCAGCTCCATCTGGACTCCCCCTCCCCTAGCTGGAGCTGTAGGAGGCAGAGGGAGGCTGGGACAGAACCAGGGATATCCTGGAAGCAGTTGGTCTGGGAGACTTGACTCGGGCTCTTCTGGGGGGTGGAAAAGCCAAGTAGGAGAGCAGAGAAGAAAAGAGGGTGACGAAAAGCCCAGTCTATCCCTCCTGAGGCAACTGCCACCCCTCAAGACACCCACAGGTGAGAAGTTGAGGTTCTGAATGATTTTAATCATTGTAACAACTGACACCGAAACATCAAGGCAGGCTGAAGACCAAGCAAAACTCCTGTCATGGGACAAATATTAAATTTTTCCTGAGTTCCCTTTTTCCTACACACAAGGTATCCCTCTTCTCTTCAAAAGGAAAAGTAAAAATACTCTGTGAAAGAAACAGCACAAAGAGTGAAGTAGAAACACCCCATCCTGACTGTATGAATCACAACCCTTTCCTTCTGCTGGTGCCACCTCCAAGAGTTTCCCGTGGGGAGGACCTGGGGCCCAGGTGGAGGTGGGTCCCTGCAGCGGAGGGTAGTCCCCGCAGACTCACCACTCACCGAGAGCAAGGACTCCCGCAGCTTCTCCACAAAATTCTCTGGAGGCAGGATTCCCAAGGCAGGTCTGTTGATGAACGTGCTCTGCAAAAAGGGCCCGAGACAAACAGTGACCACTCGTCCTTGACCCAGCTCCCTGCCAGCTCACCATGCTGTTCACAGGGGTGGGGTCCAGTAGGCTGATGGTGGTGTGTCGGGGCTGAAATAATGGATTTCCCTGTACTTTTAGAGAAATCCACCGGTATTGCTCAGAGTTTTAAAAAGAAGTGCCAATTTCTTGGTTGTGATATAGCACTATAATTACCAAGATGCTACCTTTGGGGGAAAGTGGGCGAAGGGTACATGAGACCTCTTTGTAATGTGTTGTTTTTTTCTTTGCAATTTCCTATGAATATATAATTAAAAAACAAAACAAAACATCAGAATGGCTAAAAATTAAAAAGTAGACAATAACAAGTGCTGATGAGGATGTGGAGCACCTAGAATTCTTGTTCATAGCTGTAGGAAGGTAACGAGGTTCAACCACTTTGGGAAGCTATCTGGCAGTTTCTTATCATGTTAAACACACACGCACCCTATGACGGAGCAACACCACATCTAGGAGTTTACCGAAGTGAGATGAAAGCGTGTGTCCACACAAAGACATGAATAAACATGAATGTTTATAGAGGCTTTTGTTTTTATTTGCCCAAACCTGGAAACAACCCAAGTGTCTCTCCACTGGGGAAAGGAGAAATAAACTGTGGTCCACCCACACACCGGGGACTACTGCTCAGCAATGAGGAGGAACAATATGCTGACACACGCAAGGGCAAGAAGAACATGGAAGAATCTCAAAGTCTCAGTGCTGAGTGACAAGAGGTGGAATCAAAGGGTTACACGCAACATGGTTCCATTTAGACGACATTCTGGAAAAGGAGAAACTAGAGGGACAGAAAACAGCTCATGGGTGCCAGGGGTGAGGTGGGATTGACTGCAAACAGGCTGGGGAGAATGTTTGGGGTGATGAACTGTACCGTGTCTGGATTTCTGAAAAATGTGGTAAAAAACACTTAACATAAAATTTACCATCTTAACCATTTATAAGTACACAGTTCAGTAGTGTTAAGTATATTCACATTGTTGCGTAGCCATCACCACCATCCATCTCCAGAACTGTTTTATCTTACAAAACTGAAACTATATCCATATGACACTGACTGCCCATTCTCCCTCCCCCAGCTCCTAGCAACCATGCTTCTATTTTCTGTCTCTCTGAATTTGACAATGCTAGGGACCTCATATAAGTGGAATCATACAGTATTCATCCTTTTGTGACTGGCTTGTTTCATTTAGCATCATGTCCTCCAGGTTAACCCATGTTGTAGCATGAGACAGACTTTCCTTCCTTTTTAAGGCTGCATAATATTCCATTGTATGGATGGGCCACATTTTGTTTATCCATTCATCCGTCAATGGACACTGGGCTGTTTCCACTTTTTGGGTCTTAAAAAGTGTTGGTGTGAAAATATGTCTGGATTTTTTTTTTTAATTCTCACCCAAGGGTATGTTTTTATTGACTTGAGAGAAAGGGAGGAAGAGAAAGAAACATCGATGTGAGAGAGAAACATTAATTGGTAGCCTCCTATCTGTGCCTTAATTAGGAACCGAACCTGTAGGCCTTGGCTGTATGGGATGACACTCCAACCAAGCCACCTGGCCAGGGATTTTGACAGTGACTGTATACTGTGCATTTGATGAAATTCACACAACTATATAGTACAAAGAATGAATCTGACTGCATGTGAATTAATTAAATAAACATGGAAAAAAGACGTACAAGGCAGTGGCAAGCCTAGAATTTCTAAATGGAGCAGAGCTTAGGAAAGCAATCTGATGAGGGAGCTGGCTAAATAAACAGGATGGGAGGAGTATAAGAAAAGCAATGTTAGAAAAATTACTTAGACTCTCTTTGTTGATTTTCTCCCCCTAATTTTGATAGATGTGGGTCGAGAGAAGTATTTCTCTCTGCAGGGAAATCAACAGTGCAAGCCTGATGCTAAACAGACTCGCTTTTGATAGTTGGGAGACGAGGGGGCATGTTGGTTACTAAGAACTTGTTTGTCTGAGGTTGGGTCAGCCCTGCCCTGGGACTGCAGAGCAGGGAGGAAGGCCAAGGGAACCAGAGCCTCCACATTTCGAAAGAAAAGGGAAACGCAGATTTTAATGAGAAATTGCCCCACTTTAAATGCTGGCCAAATTTTTCTTAAAACAGTCTGGCTGAGGGACAGTCCCACCCTCATGCAGCCCCACTCCTGAACAAAAGCAGCCCCTGCCTTGCTGGCTTCAGACACAGGCGGGGCTGCTGGCTGTTTACAGGGCAGGGTGAGAGGCACACACAGGACCAAGGGTCCCAAAACTCCCCACCAGCTTGGCCTCGAACACCTCCCTAAAGCGAGGAAAAAGATAATGTCCAGTTCTGGCAGGACACCGATGGGGGCAAAAGGTTCCACCCCAAGAAGTGTCAATGTGTATTAAGAGCCTTACAGTATTTATGCTCTGACCCGGCGATCTCATTTCTAGGCCTCCCCTAAAGACACAGATGGAAATGCAGATGGAATAAAAGCAGAGCCACCCCGTCCCTCAAGGTGCAGCCAGTCCCCCTGACAGGACTCGGAAGGGTCTGGGAGGGGTCCTTCCTGTGGATACACAGTGAGATCACCAGGAATCGAGTTTGGGTTATGAAAAGGGTTTGTACTAAGTGCAATGTGACATCCTGGATGGGATCCTGGAACCAAAAACAGGCAGTAGTGGGGAAATGGGAAATCTGAATAAAGTCTGTAGTACATAATGCACCAATGTTAATGTCTTAGTTTTCACAAGGGTACCATGGAGAGTAAGGTGTTAACACTGGGAGGAACTGGGCAAAGGTAGATGGGAACTGTCTTTACAACTTGTCTGTAAATCGGAAATTAGTCTAAAATAAAAAGTTAATTAAAGGGGGAGGATAGGGTGAGCCTAGGATCTGGGGACTTCTGGGGTACCTCTCTCTCTCTCTCGGACAGCCGGTGTAATTAACTCAATGCAAATACAAACAGTGGGATCACTACATAGGAGGAAGCCCAAGGAGGGGAGCCCCAGCACTCAGGCCCCTGGTTGCTTGGGAATTTGGCTCCGACAGCTAGACACTGTGGGAGGTTCACACTCCAGACTAGGTAAGTGGTGGGGGGAGTTAACCCTTCTCATTGTGAGGAAACTGAGGACCAGAGAGGTCAAGCAACTTGCCCCAAGTCACACAGATAAGAAAGGGCAGAAAAACGACCCAAACACAGGTTTGCTGACTTCAGACTCCACTGTCTGCCAGGCGCTGCAGGTGGCCTCCACCTGATAATGTTAGCGATGGATACAAATTTGCTTGGTGCAACCCAGGGATCTTGGCTGGCCTGGCGGGACCTTAAGGGACATTTCCTTTGGCTCCGATCTGAGTGGGGCTCCTGGGAAATCAAGCCAATCATGAGATGAAGGTCGGGGTAAACTGCCACCACTGGCGGGGGTGGGAGTGGCTCCCACAGGGGCTGGCCGGCAGCTTGATTGCCTATCTGGGCCCAGGGAAGATGTGTGGGTGATGTTCCTGTTTGACAAAGCGTGACTAAGAACAGAGGATATCTGGGGCATTGGGGAGCAGAATCAAATGAGGACAAGTTTCTAGAACACTTGCCATCAGACTCAGCAGCGCTAAAGTGCGATATGTAGAGAATGGCTTTGGTTTAAGTGGCTGTACGACCTGGGGCAAGTTACTTAACCTCTCTGGGCTTCAGGGTCTTCATCTGCCAGAAGATGGACCCCTCCCTGGGGACTTATAAGGCCAGTGAGGTGACACAGCTCAGTCTTGAAGGATAGAGTCACACTGGTGGAAAGGCCTGGAGGTCAGAGGGATGGCACATGTCTTCCCTGGCCAGGCCAGGTGCCCCAGATGTCAGACTGTGCTCATCACTCATTGCAGTGTGAAGGGCACGTGTAGTGCCCAATAATCATTGCATAACTTAAGGGCATTTAAATGAGGTGGCCCGGGTGACTTAAATTATAACGGGAAACCAGACATTGGATCCAGAAGACATGGCTTCATTTTCCCAGTCACCTGGAGTAATTATGTGGGAGTCTCAGGTGCTGTGACTGGGGTAGGAAGAGTCGATAAGCCGCTTCTCAGGACTTCAATGACTGGGCAGGAACCTGCCCAGGGAAGGCCAAATACCACCTGAGCACATCAGCTGCTGTTTCTCTGAGGNGAAGAGTCGATAAGCCGCTTCTCAGGACTTCAATGACTGGGCAGGAACCTGCCCAGGGAAGGCCAAATACCACAACGACCACCTGAGCACATCAGCTGCTGTTTCTCTGAGGCTGTGCCAGTCACCTTGCCCCACCGCAGTCCTCTGCAGAGCAAGGTCAACACTGTGATCCAGACTATAATGCTGCTATCCAGTCCCAGCACCAGAACAGTCCCCAGCACACAGTAGGTATTCAATCAAGAGTTTGTAAATAAACAAATGTCAAGAGATAAGGCTGAAGAAGCAGGAGGCAGCTGATGCAGGGCTTTGCATGTACAGTGGAGGAGTTTGGGGTGCGTCCTGAAGGTAATGGGTCCCCGGAAAGGGCTCCATGCACAGCGCAGTTGGAGAGTGGTTTGGGGGAGATTAGAATGAATGTGGAGGAACAGTTGGAGAGGGGTGGCTGGGGAAAATCCAAGTGGAAGATGCAGAGCTACGGCTGGTTCTGACTGGCCAGGGGTGAGAGGTGAGGGGTGAAGAGGCCAGGGGATGAAGTGTGGCATCCAGGTTCCTGGCAGGGACAGGTGGAGGCAGGGCATCCCCCAAAGTCAGAATCCCTGGGCCTTAAAGTCACGTGCTGCTGGGGACGATTCTTCCTTCGGAGGCAGCTGACACTGCAAATGTGTGTGACATGTTTGTTGACACATTTTTTTCAGCACCAACTGCTGAGGCATCTGGTATCTGCACAACGTTTCAAAACAAAGTTGGGCTTTGAATGTAAACACACTCACAGAGCCTGCATGATGCCCTCGAGTCCTCTACTGCGGCCCCTGAACTTGTCAACCAATCGGAGGGAGAAATGTCCCCAAGTCCCTCCCAGGCAGGGCAAACCCATTTGTAAAGAGGGGAAAAAAATGAAA